AAAAAAAAAAAAAAAAAAAAAAAAAAAAAAAAAAAAAAAAAAAAAAATTGCAGAAAGCCTCCCAGGACCCAGGAATAGCCTGTGACTGTGAAAGCCTCCGACAAAAAAATTGCAGAAAGCCTCCTAGGAATAGCCTGTGACTGTGAAAGCCTCCGACGAATAGCCTGTAGCCTGTTTATACGAATTCGTAGCCTATATTCGACCACTCCGTCGACCCTCGACTATATCCCTCGACCCTTGACTACTACTCCCTTCGAAAAGCCTAGCCTGTAGCCTGTTTATACGAATACAAAGAAAAATAGCCTATATTTGACCACTCCCTCGACCCTCGACTATACGAAATAGAAATAGCCTATATTCGACCACTCCCTCGACCCTCGACTATACGAAATAGCCTATACTATATTCGACCACTCCCTCGACCCTCCACTAAAAAAAAAAAAAAAAAAAAAAAAAAAAAAAATTGCAGAAGACCCTCCCAGGACCCAAGAATAGCCTGTGACTGTGAAAGCCTCTGACGAATAGCCTGTAGCCTGTTTATACGAATTCGTAGCCTATATTCGACCACTCCCTCGACCCTCGACTATATCCCTCGACCCTCCACTACTACTCCCTTCGGAAAGCCTGTTCGCCCGAAAAGGAAAATCAGGTCGCCGCCCATAAAAAACCCGGACCGACCTTATGAACCGACCGATTGCCCAAAGCCTGCAACGACCGGTCCGTCTCCTAGCCGCGACCGCACCCTTCACCCCTCTCTGGGCGTCGTTGCACGACAAATGCATATGCTATGTTTTGATATTGTGGGGAAGTCATCGCCGCCCACAGCCCCCAAAAAACACTCACCCCTCCACCCGAAAAAGAACCCCGATCGCCCTTATGAATGAACCGACCACCACCCCTATACCCTAACCATTAGGGGCAAGGGGCAACATGAAATCTCCCCTTCACAGAGAGAGGAAAACTATGCTTGCAGGGGTCCCCTCTAGATAGTCTTAGGAGTAGGTAGTGGAAGGTAAAACAAACAGAAGTTGAGAGAAGAATATAGACAGTTGTGATCAACCCCCCCCCCCCAAAAAAAACAAAAGAAAAAAAAGGCAAATGCATGTGCTATGTTTTGATATTGTGGGGCAGTCATCGCCGCCCACAGCCCCCAAATGACACTCACCCCTCCACCCGAAAAAGAACCCCGACCGCCCTTATGTATGAATGAACCGACCACCATGACGACAAATTGCCCAAAGCCTGCGACGACCACTCGCAGCAAGCCTGTGACGACCGCACATTAAAATGTATAAAGTAAGGGGGAAAAAAAAAAGTAAAAGTATTCGAAGCGCCGCGGTAGAACGACGCAAAGGACGGCGAATGAAGATGGAAAAAAAATGAATGAAAAAAATGAAAAGAAGAATGAAGAAAAAAAAGAAAGACAAAACCGTCTCGCTACTTTTGGTGCTTGAAAAAAAAAAAAAAAAAAAAAAAAAAACAGTCCAGAAAACCCGCACAGCCCCCACAAAACTTTTGGTTTTTGAAAAAAAAACAACATCCCAGTACTGTGATAGTCCTCTGGATACCCTTGATCGGTATTAGCGGGGTCTGTGACCAACACGGGTGTGAGGGTGAGCGCGAGTGGGTTGTGTGTGGTGTGTGGGAGAGTGTTGGCCATAGCCTCTGCTGCTACTCGATGAAGGGTGGGGGACTATGAGAAAGGGAGGCACAACTACTGGCAGGTCTCGGTCTTTGTGTTAGCCAGACCCCCACTGGCGGCCCCAACCCTATACCCTAACCATTAGGGGCAAGGGGCAACATGAAATCTCCCCTTCACAGAGAGAGGAAAACTATGCTTGCAGGGGTCTCCTCTAGATAGTCTTAGGAGTAGGGGGCTCGTTCAACACTCCTCGGGCGTCGAAATCCCCCAAGGAAATCGTCGTTCCACTTATCCTCGGGGAAGAATTAAAAAAAAAAATGTGAAAACATTTCCTCCGGGATTCCTCGGGGATTCCTTGGGCTACAGGCAATTTTTTTTTCCCCCCAAGGAACCTCCACTAGGATCCTCGGAGCTCCCCCATCACGAGGAACCGGGTCGGCGGCACGTCAGTCGAGTTCTCGCGCCGGCGGCCTCTGGTCCATCGGTGGTCCAGCCGACTTGCGCACGGACATGTCCGGTTACCAACGTTCAAGCGACCCGATGTGGACGCCAACGGTAACCGTTAGCGGGCCGGTTGCATCCCCAACGTCTACACCGCTGCCCCTTCGGGTCGGAGTGGCGACCGTCGGGCGGGAAACCGCCCAACGGTTGGCAAATGCGAATATTTCAGACGGCACAGTGCGTCGACAAGGCAACGGGTTCCGTTTGTCGCCAAACGCGTGTCGGCCTTCTGCAGGACGTCGCCGTTACGTTGTCGCCCGTCTCCTCTTCCGTGTAGTGTCGTTGTCGTCATCCGTCGCATGGCTGACGTGTTTCGCAAGCTGCCCTTGCTGCTTCTCGTCGTCTTTCTGCTGGTCGTCGTCGCAGTGTTGCACCTGTGTTTCCTCAGGAACGCGCCCCGGCGTCGACGTGGACGAACCTCGCCGATGAAGCCGGTCAGGACAGAAACAGGACAGGGGTCCGGCAGGGGAGGAGGGGAGTAGGTAGTGAGCAGGCGCGGTGTCGGAAGTTCGTCTTCGATTTGTAGGTTGTCGTTGGGGGTCAACAATTTTGCTTTGCCGCCTCATTTGCTACCCCTCCCAGACTCATCTGATGCGGAGGAGAGGGAGACACGGGAACGCACTGTTCCGTTGGTTAGCGGATCTACGCAGGAATGGTCTTGGGCGGAGCTGTGCGGTGGCAGTGTCGGCGTCATCGTCTAGTCCTTCACTGAACTGCTGCAGCCGGGTATCGACGGGGAAGAAGGACATGGCAGAGTGAACGTCTCTTCCGGTCACTCCACTGGGAGGTGCGGAAGCCAGACGCGCACAATGATCGTTAATCCCCATCCAGGAGACGACGACGGCCTGTTAACCGTTGTGGACCCATCGTTGAACTCCACCGGCGCGCAGCAATGGCAGGGAAGACCGACTTCCATCTCGAGGGGCACGCAAGGTCGTCCGTCGTTCTTGCAGTCACCGTCCCCGGTGTCTGCTGCGTCCAACCAGGGTCGTCGACGTCGCATTCCCGACCAAGGCGGGGGCAAGTTCGAGGACTTCGTTGATGACCGCGACGGGAGGGTCGTGTGGGCGAAGCAACAACGGCTGCTCAAGGAGGGTCGAGAGGAGGCGATCAGGCGGGGGGTGGAGCGTCTGAGGATGGACAGGCCGGAAGAAGAAGTCCAGGAGCCACATGTGGGGCTTCCGTCCGAAGAAGAGGACGGTGACAACGCGGGAGACGACGGGGAGGGGAATGGTGGTTGCGCGTCCCCGTCGCAGAACAGCGACAAGGGTGGGAAGGCCGGCGAGACGAAGGCGGCGGCCAGGAGAGGTCGTGGGCGGCCGAAAAAAACACAGTCACAGCCGAACAACGAAGAAGGCGACGGCGAAGAAAGGAAAAGCGCAACTTTTGGAGTGTTGACCATATCATCGCGCTCATACGGGCGAAACGTGATCAGGATGCGCACATGCAGGGGATGGGGCACGCCTACGCCCGTATGAAGCCGAGGGAGTGGAAATGGAATGACGTCGCCAGACGATTGAAGAACGTTGGTGTTGACAGGAAGGCGGAGAAATGCGGCAAGAAATGGGACAACCTCATGCAGCAATTCAAGAAAGTTCATCGTTTCCAGCAGTCGTCCGGGGGAGTTGACTTCTTCCTGTTGAGCTCGAAGGAGAGGGCGAGCAACGACTTCAATTTCAACATGGATCGTGCCGTTTACGACGAAATTAAAGGGTCCACCGGTTTCAACGAAACCATCAACCCGAAGAATGTTGCAGACACTGGTGCCCGCGGCCGTGTGCGCTTGCCGTCGCCGTCCAATGGTGATCCTGAGGCGGTTGCCGGTGACGACGAGGGTGCGGGGGGAAAAGAAGAGGAGGAGGGATCGACTCGTGATTCTTCCCAGATGTCGCCCTCCCCTGGTGGGTTCGGAAAGCGGAAGAGCGTGCGGCAGCAGACATTCGAGGCAATGACCGACTGCTTGGACAAGCACGGTGCGTTGATGGCAGCCACGATGGAGAGTGCCAGCAAGCGGCAATGCAGCATTCAGCTGCGACAATGTGAGGCATTAGAAGCTGAAGTGCAGGTGCAGAAGGAGCACTACGCCGCGTCAGATGAAGTCAGCAAACTCATGTGCCATGCGTTGATGGAGATAGCAAAGGCTATTCGCGAGCGGTAGACTTCGTTAACATTTGTTTACGTAGTAGTGACGCCGTTAAATGTAGCAGTCGGTGGATAGTTTGTGACATCCCGTTGTTGTCAGCTCCCTTTTGTTTTGCTGTCGTCTTCGATTGATGTCGTTGGTGGGCTCTGTAGTGGTGTTCTAGGACGGTCAGGCACATCGGTCGCCCACCTTTGTGTGTGTTAGGTGCCTGGTGTTTCGAGACGGGTTTTCCCGTCGTTCATTTGAATTGAATTTGAAGTTCGGAAGTTCATAATGCGTTACCCTTTTCTTTTTTAAATGTTGTGCTTCAACTCGTCGCACGTCGAGTGCTGATATTGTCTCATATCAATCGGTCTCTCTCTCTCTCTCTCTCTCTCTCTCTCTCTCTCTCTCTCTCTCTCTCTCTCTCT